ATATAAAAAAACAGAATTTAGACTTTAAGGCATTCCTAGTTTTGGACAATGCACCAGGTCATCCTCGCGAACTTGAAACTATGCATCCAAACATAAAAGTGACATTTTTACCTCCCAACACGACGTGTTGGGACCTGTGGGCTAAGGAATAATCCTTCAAAATCATATTGGATAATATGGAATGTAATCGTGATATGACTGTTATAGAATGCAGGAAGGAAATTTGATGTAGCAAAATAAATACATCGTACACATAAAAGAATCATTGGAAGGACTAAAGCCACACACATTGAAGTCATGCTGGAAAATACTGTGGCCTGCTCTGACTGCCGAAAATGACGAAGAATTTGTGCAAGTTTAAACTTTGACTGCAAACATAGCCAAAATCGCGAATAGGACGAGGTGGGTTCGAACAGATAGAATCAAGGAATTGTTCGAATCGTAAGATGAAGATTTGACTGAAACCGACTCGGAGGAAATGTTAAATTCACAGCCCATTGAAGAAGAGACTTCAACAAGCACTGGAAAGGGGACATTTAATTTGAAAAGTCTTAGTAAACGTTTAAGAATGGCAAATGGGCTACGCGATTTCGTTATGAACATTGATCCGTCTGTGGAACGAAGTCTTATTTTTACGAGGCAAATTGCAAATGCAAATGCTGCGTTTCAGTCAGAATTGAAGGAGCTTTTAAAAACTGCAAAGCAAGAGAAACTTACCAAATTTTTCAAACCATTATCTAAGGCTTGAGATAATTAATCAAAATGTTCAAAAACTTCAATTAAATTAATTTTTTTATATATATGATTTTTCTTTATTTTGTCACCTAGGAACGTATCCCCTATAATCGTATATAAATTACCATTCCGTATTCACGGTTTCTGTAGTCGCGGCATTTTTATGGAACGTATACCCCGCGAATAAAGAGCTTTTACTGTGTTATTATTTTTCTTGCCTTTTCTTGGGGATTTTGTTTTACAATCGGTCAGAAGAAGAATAAGTAAATAGGAAAGAAAAAAAGTATGTAGGAAAGAAACCAGCAGGAGAAGTGTGTGATGCGCAGCGCGTTGATGTTTAATTCTCGCAATCGTTAGCTTCACCATAAATTTATGTAACTGTTATAGATACCGCTTTAATATTTTTATTAAAAAATTCACTGTGTTAATATATAACCTGCTCATTGACATCTCGCTGTCTATGCCCAAAAAAAGATACTCCAAATTACGTCTTCAGGAATCTAATAGCTGAAAAAACCCAAGTATTGAAAAGTACTGGTTAGCATCTTCTATACACAGACGGCTAAAAATCTTGCGGTCTGCCTCCTGCTTGTGCCGTGGTAGATCCTTCAGGACAGGTTCTTCTCAATCACATATTTCACGAAAGTACTTCAACTTTCACAACCGAAGCTAGAGTTATCCTTCACGCTGCGAACCTTTCCCATAAATACAAACTTAAAACTGTCATCGTTACTGACAGTTTGTCTTTATTACAAGCTATACGGAATCCTTCGACTTCAAGATGGAGCACCATCGACAAATTAAGGAATATTATACAACACCCGACGAAAAAATTGAAATGTTATAGGTACCTAGTCATATCGGTTTATTGGGAAATGAGCGGGCTGCTCGAGCGGCGAAGTATGCTGCTTGTGAGAAAATTGCAGAAGGAAATTTACAATACAATCATCAACACTACTCTTCCATTAACCTTCAATTAATTCCAACTTTATATCCAATAAATGTTGAGAAAACCAAAATCCAAATATTTCTGAGAATTCGTCTTGGTCATACAATTGCAACTCACCAATGCATCTTGAAGAAGTCTTTCTCCCCAATCTGCAGTTGTGGACAAATTCTCACTATAAAGCACATTCTCTGCGATTGCCTTCACTTTTTCTTGGCTGGAAGTATTGCATTTGGAACGATTAACCCTTTGGACATTCTAAAATCAGCTTCAGAATCGAATATCAGTTCTATATATTACTTTATTAATACTACTAAGCTCATTGTCTAATGTACATTTATTTAAATTAGAGCCGATAGCCTGTGTTGCTAGTGCTCAATATCTTTTTTTTTATAGTCTACCAAAACGTGAAATATAGTTATTTAGGAACTTTCAGACGACTGTATTTGCGTTAATATCTCTCAAAGGTTATACCTCAAGCAGTAATAGTGAAGTCGTAACGATGATCTCTCGATGGTGGCGTCTCCCCAACTAAATCCATTTGTATATGTTCGTACCTTCTTTTGGCCATACGAATCTACAAGACGTGCGATTCGGTATGTTGATACTGACGGCAATGCTTGGAGCAGGTGTTGAGTTCTTTACTTATATCTGCCCAAAAATATCTAGTTGCACTGAATCGCCGTATTGATTTAGTGCCTGGGTGACATATGCCATGCATGTTTTCGAAAATAGTTTTTATTAACTTCTGTAAGACATATGGTCTCGGACATTTGCCAGAACATTTACATAGGATTTTGAAATTCAATACAGGAATTTTAAGAAATTTTAAATTAGTGTATAGTTTATTTAATATATTTTGTAATGTTTTTTGTTCGTTGTAGAGTATCTTTAAATGTTAATCTGTTGGCTTAAAGGCATCAATTTCAAACGCTCTTGAAAGTGTACCTGCCACGATATTGCTGTCTCCGCGTATGTATTGAATGTCACTAGTAAATTTAGAAATATACCCCATATGTCTGCTCTAGAATGTACCTACCTTATTTTCAGAACACTGAACGCCTACGCAAGTAAAAATCCTGACTCCTTCAGTGAAAATAAACCTTTTCAACTCAAGCAGCTATGAGAAACCACGTTTAATTGTTTTTCTTATTTTTACGCAATTTTCTAAAAAGCGTAAGCAAAAGTTTCCAATCTTATGGTTAATATTTGAGCTTTATTTATGCAGCCTAACTAACCCAGTCAGACTCACAAAAAAAAAAAACGAACATTTATGTACGTAAAAATGATAGATAAGTAATGGCGTGTCTTATCTAACAGTCTCATAGTCCGTTAGTTTACACCTATGTATTTGTTGGTCCATTACGTCATTGTCTATGGTTACATTCCTACGCACGCACACACGCACACATTTATAGTTTATCGTCGCGGAACCTATTATATATTTAGTTTGAAGTATTTGTTTTTTTTTTTCCATTATCACTTCTTAAAACTAATGTTATTTATTCCTTAGTTGATGTGTTCCTTGCATTCGACTGCAGCCTCAACATCACCGTAATCCATTTCGATAAAATCTTCAAGGGTTTTAATCTGATGGCGTCCTCTATGAACGATAACAAATGCACTATAGCCAAGCCTACCTTTGAAGCTGTACTTAAACACTTCATTGCTTTTTTTTTTCTTGATTTAATATTTTTTTCTATTTGTTGTCTTTAATTTACAACCCTACTTTTGTTAATTAACTTTTACAAAGTTATTTTATATTTTTCCTTAATAGTTTTTTCTTCTTTGGAAATTTATTGAAAGTAATAGTAATGGCGAATATCATTATATATTTTTACTCGCACATAAACAACATTTTTTTAGCGTTTATCCTTTATTTTAAATTTACCGACTTGTATTTGGTTTTAACGGAGTTTTGGAAAATAATTTTTCCTTCTTTTTTATTACTATTCAATATAATTTTACAAAATTAAAAGTCTTCTTTCACATCTTCAAGCTAATTTGAATTTCGTTAATTAATCTTTTTATCAAAGTTAAAACAATATAAAAATGAAGAGGTTATCTTTAATACTTTGAAAACAGTGTCTACTCCCGTTGATCTCTCTTTTCTTTTTCCTCCTGAGACTAATTTCTTTGTCAAAACCTACCCTTATATTATACCAACGGACTTCGGACTTCTTCTCATAATTCTCTCTCTAAATAGTGTTACTATGTGAGCGAAGAATAATGAAAAGAGATCTTAGTTAAGTCCCATTATTATGAATTAAGCTAATATTTTTGTTAAGAGCAAAGACAAAGACAAAACATTTTTATGTTTGTCAGGCCCAAGAAACTAGTAGTGCGTACATGTTTTCACTTTATTTCTAAAGATCGTCAATTTACCTTTGCTTTATGAATATATAATAGGAAATCTGACAAGTATCACAACATTCAATAAATTTCTATTCTGATACATATATATGGCTATACCTTTGACGGACCCCTATAGTTTCCGAATAGTACGAATCTTCAAATGATACGTGTCAAAATTTCATGAGATTCCGACCGTTAGTTTAGAAGTTACAGTTTGGTTTTTTTGGTCAATTTGGTGCGTTGGTGGTTGTAGTGACGAACTAATGATTTATCCATTGTCTTATATAGAATCAAAATATCCTTTTTGTTTCGCCTAACGGACACCTAGCAGCGCTCTAAATTGTCAACATATTGTTGTCAAAAGTGAGCAAACGTGGCACCTATTTCGAATAGAGCTTTCTCACTGTCAAGTGTTCGTGAAAAATAATAAATACACTTGTGATTTCTCTAAATTGTCAGTTTTTTCACGCACATTGTAGTCTGCCAAAATTATTATGTCGGCTTTTCTTATGTTTTCCAGAACAACTGCCGATTTGTGGTGACCACCCAGCGACTCCCATCCAACATCATCGATGTTTCTACGATCGCGTTTAAATTCAGTATGCCAGTTATTAATAACTGACTTCCTTTGTGCAGCGTCTCGGTAACGCTTATCAAGCGACTTTTTATCTGTTCGATAAAAACAGGAAGTGCTGTTTCTTTTCCTTGTTTTGAAAATTACAAAACCGGGGTCACTGTAACCTGGACACTAACTGTCAGAATGTCATGAAATTGCGACATGTATCGTTCGAATATTTGTACTATCCAGAAATCATATGGGTCTGTCAACAGTGTATGGGTCAGATCAGAAACTTCCTGAATGATGAGTTAGGCAAGCATATTTAAAAACATCTCCTGAAAAATAGATGAATCTGCACGTGGATCTTCTTTGATTTATTTCAATTAATTCGCTCATCTCTTTAAGCAACAAAGGAATTCCGATATCTCACTACATTCAAAATATACCGGCGCAGGATACATTCCGATCCGTAAGCTTAATTGATGTCGAACATGTTTTAAAATATTACCCCAATTGGACTCATATAATGATACGATTACCACCTACAAATAAAAAGGCAAGTTCTTGTACAATATTATGAATTCAACATATTACAATTTCACAATCTGTTTGCATTATATAATTTTAGGTTTCTTTTAAAATCGATATTTACAAAGCAAATGAACGTAAGATTATTTTGAAGGCTCCGCGATTTTCCTTTGACCGAAAAGTTCTGATAACTGAAACAACTCACGCAACTATGCATTATATGATTTTAATTCAAGGTAAAGTTTTAATTGTTATTTTCTATATAATTTTGACTAAATACGGTTTGATACGGAAAAAGATATTTTGTAGGTTCGAAATCGTTAGAATAGAACCGTCATGTTTTGTTGGAAGCTTTTTTTAGAAAATAATTTCTTTCTAAAAATAAGGGAAATCTCTAGTTTTAGAATTGAAGTCTAAGGAAACTTTTTAAGTAAGCAGGCTTATACAATGACTTTCAAACACCAGGTGAAATATTTCCCCATTCTTGATTTTTTTAATGTTGCAAATTGTCCAAATGATAAACCAAAAATCTGCCAGAGCAAAAGGTGCTTTCAGTGAAGACAGCATTGATGCTGTTGCTCGCAGTGTGCTTGATAAACCAACACAATGAATTATCTAATGTTTACATTAATTTATTGAGTATTTGGCGAATTTTGCGCAAAGATTTACATATACATCCTCACAAGATCCAATTAATACAATGTTTGGAGTTACACTTGTAAGAACTGCAAACATTAAATTATTGAAGTCGAAGTTTTCAGATCGATTACTTTCACGAAATTTTGCCGTTGACGGGTCACCTAGATCTTCCGGTTTAAATCCGTTGGCTTATTTTCTTTGGGAGTTTTTGAAAAGCAGAATTTATTTGGACCGTCCAAAAACAATACCAAATTTGAAAATCAATATACAAAGCGAAATTAATGGGTTAAATGAGCTTGTGTACACAAAACCTGCCCAAAGTTTTAGTGCTCGCAGGAAGGCCTATAAGCGCACTCCTTATAAACATTGTTCGTATGTAATTATAACAAGTCATGCTTTTGTCTTTAATAAGAGTGTCCATAAATACTTAAATTACTTTATGTTTTATAATTATTATAAGTACATTAAGAGAAATCTCCGAATGTTTTTTTGGTTAGCAAATAATAACTTTTTTAGTTTAATCATTAATTTGACTACAAAGCATTCGAATTACTGTTTTTCATGTTGAAATTCTGTGACAGTGGAACTCCAATGTAAACATTCCGTTTAGGTTTAAATGGTGTAGACTTAAACCACAAAATATGTATAGCATAAATGTCTATACTATGTCGTAATTTAAACGATGTTTTTTTAGATTTGGAAGAACCTATTTCAACATTGAGGTTTGATATTGAGCCAATTGCTTGCGTAGACAAACCTTTCCAAATCACAGGAAAAATATGCGTACCTTGGGTTCGTGGCTTCGAAAGATATAAACATTTAAGGTATTAACTGTGCAATTTAATTAACGTTTATTCGACATATATACCTAAACTTTGCATATTTACTTCAGCCATAATACGCTGGACAAAAGTATTTACGTTAATGTTCCTATACCTACACCGACGGGATACAACACCTCTGTGAATCCAGTATGTCTTGAACTATTCTTGGACCCACCTTGCCGTTATAAGATAAGGTAGTAAATTGCGTGAAACGTCTTTTTACAACATTAATTTCTTGTTTAAATGACATCTTTAATTTCGAGTAGTTGCTGAATATGGTTAGTCAAAACATTTTGTTTTGTTTGAAGTAAACTTGTTATGCCAACTAACTTAAATAAAGTATAGCCCCCTCGTCGATAATATTCGGCGTCGAATTCTTAAATCGTACCAAATTTTTATATTTGTGGCTAGCTTTTCACTATCTTAGTTATTATGGGTGTATCTGTGGAAAGGTTTTCACTCATTTATGAAACAGTGCGGTTGTAAGCGTTCCAACAATCCCTAACGCGGCTATAGGAAGACAATTAAGTTAACTTAAAATTGCATATAGAAACTTGTTGTCCCTTGCTCAAACAATTTTTCCTATTCCGAACCAGCTAGTTATAAACCAAGTCCCCTGATTTTGTGAAATATCTTGAGATAAAATTATATTCATACTTAATTGAGCGATTTTAACTTGTTTTTATTTTCTTAGACACGTGAATATTCATTCACATATTTGTGATTTAGAATTTTTATTTACGTTTTTGCATACATCAGTTAAATAACGTATCGAAATTTATAAACATATGCATCATCTCATTTCTCAGATATTTCTTCAAATGCTATTCAGTATAGGTGGCGAACGCTTGCTTATAATGAATTTCTTGTATTTGGCTGATAATCTAAGGAAACTAAAAAGATGAACCGATTTTTCAAAAATTTGAAAGAGATGATTGATTTTTCAAAGCACAACGCAACTGGTTCACTGAAAAATCTTACCTGTTTTATGAAATTCATTAATTGCGAGAAGAAAGTAAAAGATTTTTCATCTTTATTGAGGTTTTAGATTATCGAGTCTTGGTGTGTACAGATTTTTCTCTACTGTGTAGAATTTTATGGTAAATGTTTGCGGTGGAATTATACAATTTCGCTACAGTCTCAAATCCTCCTTACAAAGTTCAAGTGTTGCGAACGAGTATATTTCACACTTAACAATCTGCAATTTCCCGGATGTATTTGCTCTTACTAACCCACTGGGAATACGTATTCAGCACTTGTCTCTGCCCTGATTGGCGTTCACGCAAACACCATGATATGCATATAATTCTGTTAGTTTTGTATGCTTTTTACAACAACGAAAACCTTTCGTTAGACCGATACTTAACTGACGGCACATTACGTACATTAATGCATGTGTGAGATCGCAGTCTAATTTTAAAAATTGATAATAAAACATGAGCATAACCCATTACAAAAATTGAGAAGCATTTTCAGCGAAACACAATTTTTCAAAACTGCACCCAGCGTAACTTCGAGGGTTTTCATTATTATTTTATATTAAAAAAATGAAGGTATACTGGTGAAATATTATTTATTGTCAACAGAGAAAATTTAACTTTTTCATTAAAATCTAGCCGCTCACAAAAAAATCAATATAATTTATTTCGTAATCTTCGTTATTTTTAAAAAATACAAGCTACCAACTCTCAATTGCTGGCACCGCTTCGAAAATTGTTCAAGAATTTTATCATTGGTTGCCTGCGCATTTGACGAGTGTTCTTCTTATAATTTTAAAGCACGAAATCGTCAATTTTCAGAATCCAAGAAACTCGTGGTTTATCAAACCCTACGTTGCATTTTTTCAATATAAATCTTTTTATATAATAACAGGTATGGTCATAAACTTTAAGGTAATAAAACAGTATTTGTAAAAAAATTTCTATTTTAACTATCCTTCTTTTAGCATGTCGTCTCTTAAGAAAACTGTTAGCGCCATTTGAGATTTTACCGAGTGCTGCAATATCAAATTATACCATCTATATTTTAATTGTAATACACAGTACTGCCATCGTTGTTTCCATTTTGTTTGTATCTATAATTTGGATAATGCTGGTGTTGTACGGAAACCTGTTGTATAAAGTTGCATCCAAGTAAAGCCATCTGAAAAGAAAATTGTTAATTTACTTCATTGTTAACTACTTCATTCTAATATTACAGTTTAGTGGGCATATCCATACCTTTATCGAATGTGCTTACGCAGATGGTTCCAGCCTTACCACTGAGTTTCGGAATTGTCTTCATATCGATTGCCTATGCTTCATGTAGTGGTGTCGCGCTTGCCTTGGCTTCAGTATTCTATTTCGTAACGGTACAATAACGTGCCGAAAAGAGTAATTGTTAATAAAGGGCGTTTACGTTTACTTACAGTTGGCGAATACATACAAGCGCTACTTGCAAAGCTGGGTTTTAGAAAACTTAAATGAATTGCACACAAGGTCATCAAATAAGCAGAATGATACGGGACAAGCATCGTGTAATTACTGTGAAGGCTTAATGAATTTGACTTTCCATACAATAATGTTGTTACTCTTAATAACCATGACTGTAATAAATTGTGGAGTTACTATAGCTTGGATGAAGTCCGAAAGGTATATTATTTTGTTCAATTAATTTTGAGATCTAAGATTAATGTATGTTTGGTTTCTAAGCAATGGTTTCACATTTAGTGACCCCTTCCTGTTACCAGCGATCATTGTGTTATTATGCATGAGTATATTATTGCATCTAAAGGCTCCTCACATGTCGTATGTATTTTATATGTAGTTATATTTATAATATTCTGAACATATTCCGTCGTTTAGTTTTGGATACCATATCATCGTCATCACGCTTTACCTTTGTGCCAGTGCTTGCATACTTTACTGCCAGGAACATATATTTGGGCTGAAATATACTATTGCACTTGTCTACGTTCTTATTACAATTCAAGAACTGCTTCACTGTATTATAAAATGATGACTTTCTTAATATGTTAGGTCAAAGTTAGTACAATAAAACTTACTGCTTATATTGCTCACAGTTACTGATATATCACTAACCATCAGGATAATCACGTGTCTGAAAATTAGTTTTCGTCTGTGATAAAGCCAATAGTTAATAAACGTTTTTTTGCGATGACGTAAGATTTCCGTGTCTTTTTCGTCACTATCATTCATGTGTTAACGAAGAAGCAAAAAAAAGAAGCAAACTTGTATTTATATTTATATGTGGCTGTCAACATCCAAAAAGTAGCAGCTAGTTGTTCTGCTTGATAAATTGATAAACGAACCTTACTTTTAGCTAAAAGGGTGTGCGAACCACGGCGCATTAAAGAAATTTCAAATTTATTAAAAAGGAAATAGGCATTTCGCTTGTAACAATCAACATCCGCTGGAGTGAACGCATCTTGTTTAAGGCTAATAGAAAAGCTAGTTTTTTCTGCATTTTTTAAATTGATGGAGCGAACAATTATATAATGATAAGTATTCTTCAAGCGAATTATATGCATTGATTCGCTAGGAAGTCGCTGACCATTTTTAAAATAATAACAGAGTGTAGTGAATATGTTGTAGTGTGATCGAATATCATGGTTAATATGCATCCACTTTGAAGTGTGACAGAACTATGCAAAATTAGCATAATTCATTTGTAAAAAGAAAAAAGAGAATTATATCAGATGTCAACTAGCTGAGAGTTGCATTTCGTAATGCGATACAACGCTAGGCGCCCTAATCAAATTAATCTTTCACAGTTTTATGCTTACGCTAGCAATAAGATATTTTGAGAAATTTACGTATAAAGAGCCATGCCAAAATTAAATAAAGTCAATTGTTATGAATTAACTATTCAACAAAACGTTTCATTCGCTGCATTGAAGGCGTTCCAACTGCCTACTTTATTTAGCTAGGGACAACTTCTAGCCGATCTCTGTGTTGGAAGCTGATCGTCTTGACGGAAACAGCAGAGCAGTTTAGAAACTTATTCTGCATGAATACCAAAATCACCCAAAAAGATCCATAGAGAATCTTTCTATAACTTCTCCACACTGCCACCAACATTCATTACAATATAATGAAATATTTTTAAAAATCGAAAAAAAAAATATTAAAAGAAAATATAAAATGAAAATGTATAAAAAGTGAAAGATAAAATAATCGTAATGGTTTTATGCATTTTTTTGAAAAATAACCAAACGGAGGCGTATAAAAAAACTTAATTGTATTTTTTTAATTTATTAATTAACCAACATCACTACACTGCAGCGTAATAGACTTATTATATTACATTATACACATATTAATAATTTGCATTCTATTTGCTCCTTTTTGTAACACTAACATTTTTTTTATATTCCATTTTGCGATTTTCCCAAATTAATAACCTTGCTTGTAATCACGTATTTGAACGCCAGCTTCGTCTCTTCCCTCTTTTCAGCTAGTTTTTCTCTACAAATGCGACAACATTCAGCAAGCTTTTGTGTTCCTTGTTTGTTGCAGTGTATCCACGTATTGGTTATTCCAAGTTAGTATTGGTTGTTTAGAGTTGCATTTATAAGAGAAAATAACTGAAAATTCAAAACAATAAACACAAACAAGTAAGAAAATTAGATCTCCGCTTACTCCAAAAATATACAAAAAAAGGAACAAAATTCTCATCCTCTATAATATAAAGAATATTTACCACAAATGCTACAAAGTTGCGTAAACAGGCGAAAATTTGTAGGTACATTTAAGATGTGAAACTGGCCATGAGTTTGTATACTTTATGGAGTTTCTGAAACTTGTTTCTGCGAGTTATAAAGGTATTGAAAAAATAATTCAATTTCAATAAACTATAATGTTAAGCAGGCGGGGTCAATTTTTCCATTTTTGTGCGCAAATACTACAGCATACCAGAATATGCGTTCAAATTGTTGTACGTTTATTTGCTATAGTTTATTAGTAAGGAGCAAAAAAAATTTTTCATTCTCTTTGAAAAACAGATGTGTTCTCAGTTTACGTGGCGCCGTAGGCGTGTCCTCCAATACCAAATTGCTTGCAAGAACTTTCACTAGTTCTGTCAAGTTTGAGCTCCATAGCTTGGTTTTTGCGGCTACAACAGACATTACACAAACAGACATGCTTAAATCGATTTAGAATTTGATTCTGATCAAGAACATATATACTTTGTGGGATGTCTGATGCTTCTTTTGGGTATTGCAAATATTGTAACGAAACCCCTTCATTCTTCGGTGATGAATATAAAAATGTTTGAGCAAAAAATTTTGAATTTGTGAAAACTAAGTGATATATTGTTGATTACTAATAAATAATCAATATATAAATATTGGGCCGAATTCTTCGACACCTCATTTTACATCATTTGATGCAAGAGAATTCAACTATGCAGCAGAGAATTGCTATGATATACATTTATATTCTCAGATGTAGATTTTTGCAAACGTTTTGAATTTTTAAAACATATTTTAAATACGTTTTGTAAGCCATTGTATCCAGGAATAGTTTATGGACAGTATATACCACATTGATAATACCTTTATCCACAACTTTGGAGATGTTGGTTTGTGAAAACTCGCCGTGAGTTCATGTCATTGTTTCTTGAAAGCTGGGTTGCGATGACAACAGTTGACTGTAGCAAAGAAGTAACACAAATGAGTTAAAAAGTAAGTAGCGTTAATATGTAATTTAAAAACTTGCATTGAGAGCGCAGATTTACACAAGAAAATATTTTATAAGATGAATATATACTAGAACGATTATTCAGTTTGATGGACATAATTTAACTCTCACGGCTTAAGTAGTTCTTCTTCGTTTTAATGCCTTCACACATATCATATTTTGCCTTGTATCTTTAAATCTTTCATTTACAGATTTTTCGTTTTTACTAGCTACAGAGAAATTTGTGTTAAATCTTTATTAATCCCATTTATATCGATACTGCTCATAATTAATGTTATTGATACTTTAGAAGCTACAATTTTCCACAGTTTTTCATAATACCCAGCTCCTTCTATGCACATTCTGTAGCCTATTACTCCTATAATTACCTACATTTGAAACAATAGCGAGAACAACAAATTTTTTTTAGTGAAGCACAAGACGGAAACGGTTGGAGTCAAAGAATGGTAGCGCAACACTGAATATATTTGCATAAAAACTTAATGCGGAGCAGGAAGAGTCTAAGAGAGGGCAAATATATCGCGCGTTCAGTATATACTTTTTTCTATTTGGCTCTTTATTTGTACTTGCTGCTCCATCGGTTGCTGTTGGGTTGTGATCTTCTTTTATCTAGTATCTTTTAATCCAGTAGATTGATGTCACCCTATGGATGTATAGCAATTATCAATTTTTGGATTGATAAGATTTTGTAAAATTGAGACTAGGCGAGACAAAAAGTTTATTTATAATTACGTTGACTTGGAAACAGAAATACAGCAGTTTTAATAAAGACACTTTATTGATTGATTGGGATGAGTTTTGTTGCAAATGCGAAAGATTTCGTATAGGCTGTTATAAGTACCGAAAATATCAAATATATATTTAGTGTTGTGAAATCCTCTGCACGTAGAAATACGATGCTCAGGTGACTCTTTCGTGTGGCACTTCTTACATGTATCAGATGATGCCCATCCGACCATCTTTGATTAAACTTTGTCATATGTAGGAATGCACAAGGGTTTGCTGAGTACTTTAATCTACAATGTGGTAAAGTTGGCGCCCGAAAGAGGTTTTAAGGTCATGAAAGGGTGGGTCTTGTAAAAGAGACGATCTTCATTTGAAAAGCTGAAGAAAGTTCTTCTGAAAATTTGAATTTGTTGAATAGTTCCAATGGTATTTTACCACAGCGAAACCTGCTACTGTTTCATAAATTTTGAAATTATTGTTTTGGTATAACCGAAGTCTTTCCCCACAGAGTTCCAACTGTGGAAAATTCTTTTTTGTATTGAAAATTGAAAGTGAAAAAATTTAGATCCATTTTGCATTTGCTTCTTACAGAGTTCCAGGCTGGGAAAGTGTTGACTTTGCCGAAAATGCGATGCAATTTTTGACAGTAATTTGTGCAGCACCTGGAGACTTTGCATTCCCTAAAGCCTATCTTCCCGAAATGCGGCCGTCTAATAATTTTTAGTTTCACAATCTCTTCAGTCGTTAAAAGTAGCTCCGTTTCGGAAAACGGCAGTTCTCTAGATATGGTTCTTAGAATCGGCACAGCGGCCGAGGGGGAAAAACCTGTGCATTGTTCGAGTAGTTTTTTTCGAGAAGTTAGTATTCCTTTGGTAAGATTGTTTTGAAAGTAGTGGAGAGGGAATATTTTTTTTTTAATCGTATATACGATTTGTAAATTATGAGTGCTATTTTTGGACAGAGTCCCGTTAAAAAGCAAGTTATTGGTTTAACGAAGTTTAACGCCGATTGAGAGGCGTTAATAACTTCAGAGTAATGTCAATGATCGTACCGAGGAATTTATAATTGAAGCTTAGGTAGAGGTTTTTACAGGATTCAAAAAAGAAGATTAGTAGCAAGATTTTCAATTGCTTCTTTAAAAGTTCTTCCACCACAAACTAAAAGAGCAAAATATTGCCTTTGATGAATCTTAGTCGTTTATAGATTAAAGAGGATGGGACTCGGGTAGTGGCTTCAGGCGTGTCCCTCCTAAATCTTGAGCGTGTCAGAACCCGTAGTTGGGTTGCGAGTTGAAGGAATTTTTAAAATCCCAACCAAGTGTTGTTTTACAATATCGAAGAATTTGACCTAAGTTACTCGGATTCACACAGTCACAGGCCTTTGTTTGTTTATTTTTTTTTTGGTATGTTGAACAGAGATGGACTAAGCCAATGGATTTGTGGCTTATATATCCAAATAACAAACTGTTGTAATTTTTAGTCACGATTATGTATAAAACGTAACAAAAAAAAATTAGAGCGGCCGTAATAATTGGAGTGAGCATGTTAAATGTAATTGTGTGTGTGTTTGTGTAATTGTGCTTGTTGAGTTCTTGAAAGTTAAACAGTGTTGCAAACTTTGGCTGAAAACGAAAAACAATGCTATGGTAATAGAAGATTATTAAACGCAAAAACGAAAGAAAAAAAAGGAAAGAAGAGGAAAAAAAACAAAAAAATTCTAAAAGGATAAATTAGCTTTTCTAATAAAGCAAGTTAGTTCCCCGAGATGACGTACATTTTTTGCTGCAAAGAGATCGAGGAGACAGCCATATAACTTGAAGAAGCTAAAGGAATCTCTAATGCCATCAAGCCTGTGACATCTGAAGATTAGATGCTCAGCAGACTCAACAACATTCCAAATTTCACAAACATCACATGGTATAGCGCGAATCATTTTTAAATAAACTTTGTCATAAGTGTGACCACTCATGAGTCTATAAAGAATTTTGATTTCCCAGGAATTGAAGGAAGATACAGAGAAGGGTTTGAATTGAAGTGTGGGATTTAATTTACAGAAAAGACGATTGGATTTAACGCGCGCGATTACTTTAAATTCGTCGTTTAGCTGTTGAAGGATGTGGTTGCGAATTGCCCGAATTGCTTCATTGGGAGTATATTTGATGGACAAAATTGTCCCATCAACATGAGCTCTCCCTGCATGAAAGTCGGCTTTTACATTTAAAAAAAAGCCGCAATGGCCAGGTACCCAAACGAGGTGACAGTCATCCACTTGAGATTCGTGCAACGTCTTGTGAACGTCAAACACATATTGATTTTCTGCATCTCTTTTATTTATTAGAAGTAGAGCTGACCTGCTGTCGGAAAAAATAACAAAACGTTTGATACCATCGGAAATAGCAACCATGATAGCATGTCGAATGGCGAGCAACTCAATAAAAGTAGAGGAAAGTTCCTCTTCCACTTTGACTCGAATTATTGTTTCAGATAGATGTTTCACGACCGAGAAGCCAGATAAATCATGTCCGACGGAACCGTCAGTGGCATATATATCATATCCGTTGTTGTAATAAAAAAGGAGCTTTTCTTGGCATAACAACCTTATACAAGAGAAGTTGACATTTTGTTTTGAGGTA